TCTGCGGCAGGAACAGGAACGGAATCTTCTGCGGCAGGAACAGGAACAGAATATTCTGTGGCAGGAGCAGGAACGGGATCTTCTGCGGCAGGAACAGGAACGGAGTCTTCTGCGGCAGGAACGGAAACAGGAACTTCTGCGGCAGGAACTGAATCTTCTGCGGCAGGAACGGAGTCTTCTGTGGCAGGAACAGGAACAGAATCTTCTGCGGCAGGAATGGAGTCTTCTGCGGCAGAAACAGGAACAGAATCTTCTGCGGCAGGAACGGAGTCTTCTGCGGCAGGAACAGGAACAGAATCTTCTGCGGCAGGAACGGAGTCTTCTGCGGCAGGAACAGGAATAGAATCTTCTGCAGCAGGAACAGGATCCTCCTGGACCCCCTCGGAACAGGAGAGGTGAGGAGCGTCCGACGGGACCCCCTCGGAAGAGGAGAGGTGAGGAGCGTCTGTCTGGACCTCCTCGGAACAGGAGAGGTGGGGAGCGTCTGTCTGGACCCCCTCGGAACAGGAGAGGTGAAGAGCGTCTGTCTGGACCCCCTCGGAACAGGAGAGGTGAAGAGCATCCGATGGGATCCCCTCGGAACAGGAGAGGTGAGAAGCATCTGTCTGGACCTCCTTGGAACAGGAGAGGTGAGGAGCGTCTGTCTGGACCCCCTCAGAGCAGGAGAAGTGAGGAGCGTCCACCTGGACCCTCTCGGAGCAGGAGAGGTGAGGATCCACCTCGGGGGCTGCGTGCAGCGTGGGATCCACCTCGGGGGCTGCGTGCAGCATGGGATCCACCTCGGGGGCTGCGTGCAGCATGGGATCCACCTCGGGGGCTGCGTGCAGCGTGGGAACCATCTCGGGGGCTGCATGCAGCGTGGGAACCACCTCGGGGGCTGCGTGCAGCGTGGGAACCACCTCGGGGGGCTGCGTGCAGGGTGGGAACCACCTCGGGGGCTGCGTGAAGCGTGGGAACCACCTCGGGGGCTGCATGAAGCATGGGTTCAGAGATGGCAGTGACTACAGGGGTTTTTAAAGTCCCTATCTTTGTTAGTAATAGATTATACTCAGGAAGCCGTACAAGACCAGGAATAGGTAATACAAAATCTTCCATCTGAGACAACACGATGTCGATGGAAGCCGGGCTATTTTTAGCTGAACGGAATAAATCTAGTAAAGTTTGGTTTATTTGCATAATTTCTTCGGATGAAAATGAGAATAAGAAGGGAATGTCTCTATGTGGGGGTGTGGTGACGGGTACCGCCCCCACCGGAAACCTGGAAGGTGAGGTGGTGGAACACGCCCCCACGGAGTCACTGGGAAAACGCTCGAGAGGTACGGTCAGGCTGGGTCGGACAGCCACGGCGCTGTGTGGCGGTGAGAGGCCGGATTCCGCCCCCACCAGGAACCTGGAAGGTGAGGCGATGGAACCCGCCCCTGTGGCGTCAAGTGGACCGGACTCACCGAACCGAACAGGAGTAGACCGGAGCTCCCGCGGGACGTTGGATCTCGCCCCCACCGGAAACCTGGGAGGTGAGGCGGCGGATCCCGCTCCCACAGAAACACCGGAACCAGCTCTAAAATTCTGCTCAGCCGACGAGACCGGGCCGGTTGCCGCAGACTGCCTCCGGAACCGTTTTCTGCAACTATGGCGGCAGTGGGACGGCAGAAGGACAGGGACCGAGTGGAGCTCGTCCATCCATGGCTCGTGGAGGGAAAAAGAAAAAAGGTGAGTTTGCCGAGAGAGACCCTGCCCGCTGGGTTCTGGTTTGGTCGCGTCGTAATGTCAGGATTTTCTAGGCAGGAGCGAACACAGTAGTGCAGACAGGGACTCAACTCAGCAGAATACAAAAATAGGTATTTAATGATAAATAAAGATACAAAATAACAGGCTGACGGGACAGCAAAACTTACATAAACAGGAAGATAAGACTCGGGAAACTCAGGAGGACTTGGAAGACTCAGGGAACTCGGAAGACTCAGGGGAACACAGGAGACCCAACGAGTACGATGCGACAATGAACAAGACTGACAGACGGCTTATATACAGTGACAAGACGAGACGTGATTACGAACAGCTGGGACGAGATAAGGGTGGCACTAATTGAACTAACTAGAGAGCACTAGGGAACACAGACACAAACTGGGCCACAAAAAGGTACCATCCTTACAAAGATTTCTGAATAAAAGCATAAAATTTTAATCCAATGTCAGTCCAGTTCAGTTGCTTTAAATGTCTTCTGTAGGGCCATTTGCTATGTTGCAGTGGGAGCATAAACGATTAACATACATTCCACATGCAGCAAAAAAGTTAAATCATGAATATAAAGTACAGCTGTATATAAATACAAAGACAGCAGACATAGAGTCAAGCTTAAAATATAATAGAAAACAGACATCCTTCTGGAGTTCAACAGGGAAATGGTAAATGGTAAAAAACAAAAAAAAAAACAATAAATAAGTTTATATCTGTTGGTTTTGACAAATGGAAGCCTGATTTTTTTTTTTAAAGTACCAGATAGAAGACACAGGAACGGTTGGTGTAAAGATGACTTCAGTGAGACAACATGAATTCGACCTTCCCGCAGAACTGTCCTTAAAAAAATGTTGTACTTGAAGTTACCAAATTTAAATTTAGCAGAAGTTGTTAGTTCTTTATTAATCTTTTGTGACTGCGATGTTAGCCCTAAAGTAGAGTGGCTTAACTTCCATTGACATAATATTTAAAATGTGATATTCATACAAAGTATTGCGTCTGGCTTATGAGTGTCTGTGGAATCTTTCCTCAGTGGTGATCATGTGTGCTGGAGCAGAGAGAATTCGAGAGATAATGCTCATGGCTCACAAACAGCAGCTGACCAATGGAAGTTACATGTTTTTTAACGTTGATCTCTTCAACGCCTCCTCTTATGGTAAGTTCACATCTAATTATTTTATTGTGTTTTACTAATTAATCTATATGTATTATATTACATGTTCACAGTCTTGTGGATGATTTAGTTTCATTGTATGTACATTTTATCCATCCACACATTTTGTGATGTTTTGAATCTGTTATATGACATGCTCATGTTATTTACCTTTTTCTATATAAATGTGGTCATTAGAGTAATATTAATAATTCTCTTTAACCATTATTTTCTAAACAGAACTATTGACACTCTCAGTCCCACATACTGACACTTTAGTTAGCAGTTAACCTAAAAATAATTCCTCATAGCTCTGACATTGGGCAGCACAGTGGCACAACTGGTAGAGCTGCTGCCTCTCAGCGAGCAGGTCCCTGGTTCAAACCCTGGCCCAGGGGCCTTTCTGGGTGGAGTTTACATGTTCTCTCTGTGCATGCGTGGGTTTTCTCCGGGTACTCCTGTTTCCTCCCACAGACCAAAAACATGCATGTTAGGCTGTTTGGTAACTCTAAAATTGTCCCTAGGTGTGAGTGAGAGATTGAATGGTTGTCTCGTTTGTCTCCATTTGGCCCTGTGATGGACTTGCGACCCGTCCAGGGTGTACCCCGCCCCTCGCACAGTGATTGCTGGACATGGGCACCAGCGACCCCCGTGACCCAAAATGGAAGAAGCGGGTAAAGATAATGGATGGATGGATAGCTCTGATATGTTTGACGACTAGTTGGTGACCCAAAATTACAAACATTTGCAAGGAAATAGTAAAATTCTTTGTTGCAGAATATTAAAGGTTTACAACTGAATGAGCAGTGAGCTGTGCAGTTGCATTTTGTGAGGCCATATTTCAAAACAATTTATTTTTGAGTGCCTGACTTGTTAAACTGCATCCGTCCCTGCCCAAGTTCTGCCCTAATGTTTAAGATTTATTCTACTGGAGTACACTGTGGAAAGATAGCCAGAGTCAGACCACATTTTAATAAATAATTTTTACCATCTGCATAGGCCTGTCGTGATAAATTATAAATCAGTTAATCGCATGATGAATGAAAATTATCGACCTCATTTTCATATATCAGCTTTATCATTTCTTGTCTCTCTTTCTACTGAAGACATTGGATGGCAAAGGCTCAACTCTGGTGCTCTTCACTGACACACCCCCCCCCCCCCCCTTCTTTATTCTCTGTAAAATCTGTTTTAACTGTCCAAAATTGCGTTTTTGGATCGTTAAAAGCAGCTAAGCTGAGAAGCTAAGCTATGAGCTAAGCTAACAGGCCGACCTCTGGAAAAAACCTTCGTCTTGTCAAAGCTCCAAAATTCACGGTTGAAACTTGTGCCTTCATGTAGAAAGTTGTTCTTCTCTGCAAAAAGAAGCCGAGAACTTGTTTTTCTGGGTTTTTTTTTATTAAAAGCTTTGTGTGAAAAATGCTAGGCTAAAGAGCTCAAATCACCGAGAGTCTGCCATGTCACCATGTCTGCACAGTTATGTCAAGGGCCCTCCCTCCCATTTTTCATAAAGAGACACTGCTCAACTATCCATCCTTTGTATCCTGATGCATGCTCAATAATCCAGGTAGAAAAATCTAAAAAAGTTACATCTGGTCCTCTGGATATTAAATAAAAACAAAACAAAAAAATTGTAGAAATGTTTCGGCTTTCATCCGTAAGACTTCCTCCGTCTGAGGTGCTGTATTCAGCTCAGTCTTATAAATGGCACCTTCTCAGAGTGGATCAACCAGTTTTGCTGCCGACAACCAAAACCAGCTGATCACATAAACAAGGACCATCAGCCTAACGATGGATCATTAGCACACTGATGGCTGTTTACTATTCACAGGCGGCTGAGTGATACTAGCAATAACAGCATTGTAAGAGGGGGACAGTTGAACACAGAGGCCTCCATCCCTGTTTAATGATGAACGGTTTCTTTTCACCCCTCCCTGGGCTGCCACCTTACCGTGGTGGAGGGGTTTGAGTGTCCCAATGATCCTAGGAGCTACGCTGTCAGGGGCTTTACGCCCCTAGTAGGGTCACCCATGGCAGACAGGTCCTAGGTGAGGGACCAGACAAAGTGCAGCCCAAAGACCCCGATGAAGAGGAAAAATAAATGGACTTAATATTCCCTTGCCCAGACGTGGGTCATTGGGGCCCCACTCTGGAGCCAGGCCTGGAGGTGGGGCACGCGGGCGAGCATCTGGTGGCAGGGCTTTTACCCATGGAGCTTGGCCGGGCACAGCCCGAAGAGGAGATGTGGGTCCCCCTTCCCATGGGCTCACCACCTGTGAGAAGGGCCAAAGGGGTCGGGTGCAATGTGGGATGGGTGGTGGCAGAGGGCGGGGACCCTGGCGGTCTGATCCTCGGCTACAGAAGCTGGCTATTGGGACGTGGAATGTCACCTCACTGGTGGGGAATGAGCCTGAGCTGGTGTGTGAGGCTGAGAGATTCCGGCTAGAAATAGTCGGACTCACCTCTACGCATGGCTCTGGCTCTGGAACCAGTTTCCTTGAGAAGGGCTGGACACTCTTCCACTCTGGAGTTGCCCCTGGTGAGAGGCACCGAGCAGGAGTGGGCATACTTATTGCCCCCCAACTTGGTGCCTGTGTGTTGGGGTTCACCCCAGTGAATGAGAGGGTGGCCTCCCTCCGCCTACATGTGGGGGGACGCGTTCTGACTGTCGTTTGTGCTTATATACCAAATGGCAGTTCAGATAATCCACCTTTTTAGAGTCCTTGGAGGGGGTACTGGAAAGTGCACCTCCTGGGGACTCCCTTGTTCTGCTGGGGGACTTCAATGCTCATGTGGGCAATGACAGTGAGACCTGGAGGGGTGTGGTTGGGAGGAACAGCCCCCCTGATCTGAACCCGAGTGGTGTTCTGTTGTTGGACTTCTGTGCTCGTCATGGATTGTCAATAATGAACATCTTGTTCAAGCATAAGGGTGTCCATATGTGCTCTTGGCACCAGGACACTCTAGGCTGCAGTTCGATGATTGACTTTGTCATTGTCTCATCTGATCTGCGGCCACACGTCTTGGACACTCGGGTGAAGAGAGGGGTGGAGCTGTCCACTGATCACTACCTGGTGGTGAGTTGGCTCCGATGGTGGGGGAGGATGCCGGTCAGACCTGGCAGACCCAAATGTATTGTGAGGGTTTGCTGGGAACGTCTGGTAGAGTTGCCTGTGAGAGGGAGTTTTAACTCCAACCTCTGGAAGAACTTCGAACATGTTCCGGGGGAGGTGGGGGACATTGAGTCTGAGTGGACCATGTTTCGTGCCTCTATTGTTGAGGCGGCCTACTGGAGCTGCGGCTGCAAGGTTGTCGGTGCCTGTCGCGGCAGCAACCCTCGAACCCGATGATGGACACCGTTGGTGAGGGACGCTGTCAGGCTGAAGAAGGAGTCCTATCGGGCCTTTTTGGCCTGTGGGACCCCGGAAGCAGCTGATGGGTACCGGCAGTCCAAGCGACATGCGGCTCGGATGGTCGCTGAGGAAAACTCGGGCATGGGAGGAGTTCGGAGAGGCCATTGAGAATGACTTCCGCATGGCTTCAAGGCGATTCTGGTCCACCATCCGGCGTTTCGGGGGGGAAAGCGGCTCGCCACCAACACTGTTTATAGTAGGAGTGGTGTGCTGCTGACCTCAACTCGGGATGTTGTGGGTCGGTGGGCGGAATACTTTGAAGACCTCCTCAATCCCACCGGCACGTTTTCCACTGAGGAAACGGAGCCTGGGGACTCTGTGTTAGGCCCTCCAATCTCTGGTGCTGAGGTCACCGAGGTGGTTAAAAGGCTCCTCGGTGGCAGGGCCCTGGGGGTGGATGAGATTCGCCCAGAGTTCCTTAAGGGTCTGGATGTTGTAGGGTTGTGTTGGCTTACGCGACTCAGCAATATTGCGTGGACATCGGGGGAAGTCCCCCTGGATTGGCAGACCTGGGTGGTGGTCCCCCTATTCAAAAAGGGGGACCGTAGTGTTCCAACTACAGGGGAATCACGCTCTTAAGCCTCACTTTTAAGGTCTATTTGGGGGTTCTGGAGAGGAGGGTCCATCGGATAGTCGAACCTCGGATTCAGGAGGAACAGTGCAGTTTTCGTCCTTGTCGTGGAACACTGGACCAGCTCTACACTCTCAGCAGGGTCCTGGAGGGTGCGTGGGAGTTTGCCCAACCAGTCTACATGTGCTTTGTGGACTTGGAGAAGGCGTTCAACCTTGTCCCTCGGGGAACCCAGTAGGGGATACTCTGGGAGTATGGGGTACCGGGCCCTTTGATACGGGCTGTTAGGTCCCTGTATGACCGGTGTCAGAGCCTGGTCCGCATCGCCGGCAGTAATTTGGGCTTGTTCCCGGTGAAAGTTGGACTCCGCCAAGGTTGCCCTTTGTCACCGATTCTGTTCATAACTTTTATGGACAGAATTTCTAGGTGCAGCCAAGGTGTTGAAGGGATCCGTTTTGGTGGCCTTAGGATTGCGTCTCTGCTTTTTGCAGATGATATGGTCTTATTGGCTTCATCAGATCGTGGTCTACAGCTTTCGCTGGAGTGGTTCGCAGCCAAATGCGATGCGGCCGGGATGAAGATCAGTTCCTCCAAATCCGAGGCCATGGTCCTGAGCCGGAAAAGGGTAGAGTGCCCTCTCTGGGTCAGGGAGGAGGTCCTACCCCAAGTGGAGGAGTTCAAGTATCTTGGGGTCTTGTTCACAAATGAGGGAAAAATGGAGCGTGAGATCGATACGCGGATAGGTGCAGTGTCTTCAGTGAAGTAGGCGCTATACCGGTCTGTCGTGGTGAAGAGAGAGCTGAGTCAAAAGGCGAAGCTCTCAATTTACCAATCGATCTACGTTCCTACCCTCATCTATGGTCACGAGCTTTGGGTTGTGACCAAAAGAATTAGATCTCGGAAACAAGTGGCTGAAATGAGTTTTCTCCGCAGGGTGTCTGGGCTCTCCCTTAGAGATAGTGTGAGAAGTTCAATCATCCAGGAGGGACTCAGAGTAGAGCCGCTGCTTTTCCACGTTT